GGGCCAGAGGGTGGGCCCGAGGGTGATCCAGATAGGGTGGGCCAGAGGGTGGGCAAGAGGGTGGGCCAGACATGCAGCCCAGCACATCGGTAACGGTGCCTAAAAGCATAAACCATGGTTGAGCCAGAAAATCGTACGCAATAAATTACGTAGTGTTGTTTTAGGGGCTGCGGAGTTCGCGAATTGAGTTATCGGATGATGATCACAGGATTCACAGGGTCGTACTAACGTTATCTCGAAGTCAGTTCACCGGCGGGTGTAATTTTACCCGCACATGGGGAACACCCTCATCTCGGGTGTTAAACTAAAACGCTACCGCTCTTGTTTTACTCCAGAGCTGCCCCGAGCATAAATAACAAAGTGCAAGGGCGATAATAGCGTGTTGATGTGTGGAAGTGACAAATGTTCCCTCCGGGGGCTGCGACGCATTTGTCATGGCCTCCGGATCACCTCCTCCGCCTCCACGGCGGCCTCCGAGTGGAACACGACGCGGCTCGTGCGGCCGTGTGTCTGCTCCGCCCCGGCGGTCCGCTCCCGTGGTCCGGGCTGGCGGTGCGCGCGGCAGACCCGTGGGACAGTCGGCAGCCGTCTTACAGCCCTGGCCTGGCCGGCCCTGGCCCGGCGGCTGCAAACCTTTCCCTCCCCCGCCCGCCCGGCCTCGACCATTTCATACCCCTCCTTGCGCATTACTTATTTACCGAGTTGCATCAACTCCATTGTGTCCCCCCGGGCGCGCCGGTTCGTTTCTCCGCGCACGCTTCGAGAGCTTCGACCCCCTCTGCCCACCCTTCTCCGCCCCCTCTCCGCTTCCCCACTTCCCCCCTCCCCTCCAGTCACCGCTGACCTCTCGCCGGACAGCCTGACACACAGTCTGCCCAGGCCCTGCTCGGGCGTACGCCCGGTGCACAACAGGGTCGTTCTAGTGGCGCTCAGGAAGGACGGACGGACAGACAGACAGACAGACAGACAGACAGACAGACAGACAGACAGACAGACAGACAGACAGACAGACAGACGTGATTGGGCGGGCTGGAGTTAAGCCCGTCCCAGGACCCCACACCGGCCGAGCGGCTCTATTGAAATAACGGAGGTGCTGTGCGAGTGCGAAATAACAATGCGGCTTGTGAGCCCACCACACCACGCCACGCCCCGCCTCACCCCACCCCACCCCGCCACACCCCGCCCTGCCTCACCCCGCCCCGCCTCACCCCGCCCCGCCCCGCGTTCGGCACGAAAGGGAATCGTCCAGAAAGTATGTGTCCTTTTCCTCTCAGATTAGTTCGATATAATTACTGGGGCTAGGCGCCTGCGAGACTCGGGGTAGGCCAGCCCGCAATACACGCGTGCACTGCAGGCGAGATGTTGCCTATCCGCCAGGCGCTCCGAGAGCTTGCGGAGGCTGCAGCAGAGGCTCAACCTATGTCAAGTTTGTAACGGCGCATGGCGGATGTACTGGATGATCCCGAAGCTAGTCCTTTACAACTAAAAATACCTAATCAGTTTTCTGACTTACTTACTAAGCGAAAAGCGTTCAACGTCTGTCTAACGTCCCGGTATAATGAGGATGCAAACTACTGTTTCCCGGGTGTGTCCTACCTCGGGGTCTGCAGTAAATGATGGCTCGTTTGTGTCCTTGTGCAGGGGACGGGAGCATCGACGTGGAAGAGTTCACCCAGGTGTGCACCTGCTTCGGCGCCACCAAAGCCGAGTGCGAGCAGGCCTTCCAGCGCTTCTCGCAGGTCAGTGGAAAAACGTTATTACCTAAGGGATACATTTATCTCGGTCGCACATACATCAAATTTTCACAATTTCGCACAATTTGTCATTTAAAAAATCCACACAAATTATGTTATTCATTAATTTGTTTTTTAAAATGGCCATTCTCTGATCCTCCTCGTCTTCCTCCAGAACAACTCTGTGCTGGTGACCAAGGACGTGTTCGCCGAGCTCTGGAAGGAGTACTTCGTGTCGGAGGACCCCAGCGCCGGTGGCAACTGCATCTTCGGCAAGCCCATCATCGTCTAGGCCAGCGCGCGCTCGCGGCGGGGCCGGGGCGGAGCGGCGCGCTGCAAACTCGACAGCGGCGGCCACCACCACACTGCCGGGGACAACGCTATGCGTTTGAGACAGCTGCAGGGTTTGCTACACCAAACGGGGCGTGGCTATGGGCTCGCACACGGCGTAATACACCAATGATGTCGTGCTCTTGTTCAAAAAAAGGGGGGGGGGTCACAGAATGGTAGAAATATATTTCACGCTAAGAGTCTGCGTAGAATGAGTCACACACAAAGCCTCCTCTATGCTGTACGAAACGTGAGACGATTTCACGCTTCGTAGAGTCCCGCAAGGTATCTCCGGTGGGCGTCGTTCTGTCGCCTACCGCTGAGGGAGTGAACGTTTTCTCTCGCACTTGCAAGTGAAGCTCTGCTTTGGATTAGTGCGCAGCGGAGCGCTCCCCCCGTGAAGCCTGCCATTCCCATGGTGAGAAATGAACGTCGGAATGATTTCAAAACGACATATCGTTATGAGGCAACATCGTTGATCGTTTCGATTTCGTTTCGACACGTCATTTCTCACTGGGATCTGCTTTCCGCCGGAAGTGCAGTGATGATCGCCGCTCTTGAGTTTGATCGGAGGAACACAGTGATAGCTTTAAACAAAGAGAAAACTAGTGGGAAGTTGTTTGTTGAATTTTAAAAATGCCAAAAATTGCAATGCGTTTTCTGTTGTGGCACACTGTTCCTTCCAGTCGCCCGGTTGCATCCGCACGTAGAGATGTCCGGGTTGTTTCAATTCGGATGCTTGATCGATGTCTCTCTTGTTTGTGTGTGTGTGTGCGTGTGTACTCGAGTGTTCTCTCAAGACACACACAAAAAGTCGGCAACCGGAGCGGTTTTAACATGGAATGTGATTGATGTCAGAGTTTGAACCGGAGGCTTTGTGTGTTGCTTCTGTGGGGGGTGAAAGACAGCAGTTCGGAGTGGTTGTTGGGGTTTTATCCTAGAGGGGGGCTGGTGAATGCAGGGCATGGTGCGCTGGGAAGAACGGTAACAAATTGTTAACTTTTAGTTAAAGCTAAGACCCTCCACACTGATGTGCTGACGTTTTGTGAGGTGCGGCGGTGAGCGAGTTCCGTGAGTTCCTTTGGCGTGCAGGGGTGAAACAAATACACCTGCCGCTCTCTGCTGTTTGAAAGCTGGCTTGGGCCTCAAAGGTGCAGACTTCTTCAAAAATATTCACTTAATTGAGAAAAGGAAATAAATGCCCGCCAATATATATTTTTCGCATTGCGATTTCTGACATTTTACGCCTTTGACTTTAAAAGAACCAATGGTTTTAGCCGAAACTTCAGAAAACGCTCGCAACGTCCAACAAGTCTCCGAGAAAAACAGACTGAAACTTCAGATGAACAAATAAACATTTATGCTTTAAAATTATTGCACCCTTAAATGTAAAACGTGAACCTCGGAGCGTGCTCTTTTTCATTCAGCTTAATAATTCCTCGAAAACAATCCGGCAACCCCTTTGATTAAAATATAAATGCTCGAGTAAGCATGCATAACTTCTAGAACTACTATAGATTATATACGTCATCTTTTCGTGTCTCTTTACACTTCAAAGAGTATATTGTGTATTCTAATCCCTATGTCTTCTATTTCCTTAGACAAACTTTGTAGTGTAGTAGGTAAACATTAGGGAGTGTATACCTTAAAACGTTATTCCGATCTCGATTTGATGTTGTATCGACATAGTAGTTTGGAGTAACAGTGAACCGTTTAGAGATCTGTCCTTTTCTGCGGTTTATTCTGTCAGTTTTATGACGAATAAAAAATGGCTCAACAACGGCGACCGTTTACTTTTATTCTTCTTACCCATCGCCCATCGTTTCGCAATCATTAAAGGCCGCTCGGACCAGGTTTTCCATGCAGTCCTTCGTGGTCTACGTGGTGCAGGTCCCCCAGCGTTCCAGTAGTGATCCTGAAACTGATGGCTCTCGGAGTCCGAGGGGGGAAGGGTAAGCCTGCGCTGTGGCGAGAGTAGCGCCGCCGTGGAGCGGGGTAGCGGCGCGGCGAGCGGGGCGCCTGGTGGGTAGGCAACGCCCGGGCACAGCGCGCAGCCGTGCGCAGCGGCGGCCTACCGCCCAGGCGCTCCGCCTCCGCCCCGCGTCCCATGAATCGGCCCCGGAGACCACCACTTCGGCGAGCCCACCTCCCCGAGGCCGTGGGGGGCGGCGTCGAGACGATGACCACGCCGTCGTCGTCTCTTCAGAATTCAAAAATTCTCAAGCAAATATTTGCACTTTATAGTTTCTAGTCAACAAAACAATAGTAAATGACGGCAGAGTAGCTAGCTCCTCTGGGTGTCAAGAGCGCAGCAACAATGCAACAGTTTCTCAATTGTTACACACAAAGATACACCAAATGATTTCCCTAGAGCAACAAGAGGCTGATAATACCATTATGTAAGTTGTAAATGTTTGTTTTAAATTTATATTGTGAAAAACCCATGACTACCATGCTGTTGCACTTTGAGCAGGCACAGATTTCTGCATTACATGCCTTGTGGCAAAATGACTTTTAAGATAGCAGCTGATCAAAGCTCAGAAGGAGCTTCATTTATGGAAATCAGAGACCTTTTAATTTACTTGGTGTTTATGACTCTGCTGGCGGTTTTTACTTTTGGAGTCTATTCTCAAAACTCATTTCATCTGAATAATGCAATTGCAAACAGTTTTATTCACCAACCTTACTTCTGTGAGGAAGAACGGACAAATATTTTCAATGTTTCATCTGTTGATGAGCTATGGTGTTACATGAATAAACGTTTCATAGTAACGCTTCAAGATCATCCATTTTGGGGCCAAATTGGCACCAAGAACGAAACATATTTGCTTCGACCACCACGTGTTAGACAAGTTCGAGTAGTTGAAGAGGACTGTATTGTACCTGTTGCAGCTACTGGATGTTTTGGAAAATTTTCCAGTGAAAATGAAGATAAAAGTTCTTTTAATTTGGCAAATGACACATCTTGGGTTTACAATTCTCCTGACAAAATGGGCAACATCTGGTTTAGAGGACTGATTTCCTACTATAATTCAGCAGGCTACTACTTTTCATTGATTGATGCTGACCAACTATCTTACTATGAGGAAAATAATTGGATTGATGAACAAACAAGAGCAATCTTTATTGATTTTACTGTCTACAACATAAACATTAATTTGTTTTGTGTTTGTCAAATTTTATTTGAGCTGCCTCCCTCAGGAGGCATCACACCTTCTTATCTATTTTCAACTGTTAAACTTATTCGTTACAATGATGAGTATGACCACAGAGTTATGGCATGTGAAATACTGTTTGCAGTATTTTGCATATACTATTCAATCGAATTAATTTGTGATATAATATATTTCAAACTTAACTTCTGGAGAAAACTGGATAACTGGATTGACTCACTAAACTTGGCTTTATCCTGGTCGAGTGTTTGGGTACTCATATACCGCTATGTCATCTGCCTCTCAATTTTGCAAAGAGATGCATTACGAGGGATACAGGAACTACCAGACTACCAACATCTGAAATACATTCATCTCACTGCTGACAGAATCACTGCAGTCACACTATTCTGCAGTTGCTTCAAACTTTATAGGTATGTGGTATGTGTGGTTTTCAGCCCTTAGCTCTTAAAATTAATCAAACCTCAGGTACAATTTGTTGGTTTCAATGAGCGAAATCAGTGAGGAATAAATGCTGAGTTGCTATTAATTTGTTTTCAGGTTCCTCCATTTTGATACTATTCAACATATTTACACCACAATAATGTACTGCATGAAAGATATGATCAGTTTTGCCTTCCTATTCTTTATCATACTCCTAGCATATGCCCAGCTGGGCACACTTCTCTTTGGTAATTTTGATGAATCATACAGAAGTATTGCAGAGTCGTCTTTCACTTTGCTACGAATAATGATGGGTGAATTCCACTACCAAGAAATCACAAAAATTCTTTGCCTTATTGGTCCTATTTACATTGTCAGCTTTGTTATGTTTGTAGTCTTTTTACTTTTGAACATGTTTCTTGCAATTATTAATGCCACATACTCTGTTGTTTCAAGTAATGTAAAGGTGACACGTAAGTCAGAATATCGTCCTTTCATGAAGCACTGTCTTTATCTCATATCAAGTAAGTTCGAGCCAAAGACTCCATCAAAACCCAAGGCAATGAATAATAGCGATAAGATTACGGAACTCATGAAGAGAAGTGGATTCTCTGAACTAGAAGTTGATACCTTCTTTTCCCGGTATACTGTTGATAATGATAGGGAGGTTGCGGACATTGTGTTTCAGAGAGTTGTCCACCAGAATGTTGGAGTGCAGCATTACCTTAAGTTGAAGTCAAGGACAAAAACTATTAACAATAGTGTGCTTCAAGCCATCAAGAAAAAAGAGCTCTTTTTAGATCAGGTTGGAAAATTAATGCGAGCTTAAAAGC